ATGGTGAAGGGCCTGGAGCATCTCCCCTATGAAGAAAGGCTGAGTGAACTGAGTCTGTTTAGCCTTGAGAAGAGAAGACTGAGAGGGGACCTGATCCAGGTCTATAAATATGTACGGTGTGGGGGGCAGAGTGGCAAGGCTGGACTCTTTTCAGCAGTGTGCGGAGACAGGACAAGGGGAAATAGCCAGAAACTGGAGCATAGGAAGTTCCGCACAAATGTGTGCAAGAACTTCCTTACGGTGAGGGTGACGGAGCACTGGAACGGGCTGCCCAGGGAGGTTGTGGAGTCTTCTCTGGAGATATTCAAGACCCGCCTGGACACCTACTTGTGTGACCTGCTGTAGGGATCCTGCTTTGGCAGGGGGGTTGGACTCAATGATCACTGGAGGTCTCTTCCAGCTCCTACGATTCTGTGATTCTGTGATTCTGCTTCAGATTGGCTTTCTATTTGGAGTTTAGTCCTAAATCTGAGTGATGCAGAAGAAGATGCTAAGGACTAATTGAATTTTTGCTCTTGGCAACATGCTGTTGGTGTCTAAATTCATGTTGCTGACTTTTGATGACTTCTAAGATGAAGAGTGTGGCAACTATAGAGCAAAAGTAGCCATGGTAGCTTAGTTATAGGAGTCATTTTTCCCACTACATACACAAAAAACAGTCCTAATACTCTGGGAGAGTTTATGGTCTCTGTCTCTTACTGATATCTTGACCGGTGACACTGCATTAGATCTGACAGCTAAAATGTTCTGATACTGGCTCCAGCCCCTGCATTTTCTTATCTGTGTTGGCCTTGCGCATGTAAAGGGAAAAAAAAGCAGAAAGATGGATTTTTGTTATAAAGCTGGTGGTTCTAAAGCTAGATTCACATGTCCAAATGAGGCAGAAGGAGATGCTCCTTTCAATAAAAATATTTATTGGGCAAAACTAAATGAAGTAAATGATAAAGTGAGGATGGTGTGCCTGAAATACACAGGATATATCCTCAGCTGGACACAGACACCAGCTCTGAGGTCTGGGGAGAGCAGGAAGCAGCAGTGAGTTTGGTACACTGTTCCTCTGGGGATCTTTGGATAAGAATTTAACTCATCAATCATTCCCTCTTTCACATTCACTCTTTTCCTTTACTTGCAACCAGGACAGTTTTTATTCTTCTCTCCTTTTATGGGCTTGCATCATTGTTTTCTTTTACCAGTAAAGCAATACAAGTAGGAACAAGAGAAAGGAGAAATGTCAGGGAATGGGGCTGCAAATTGTGCTGCTATTCAGTCCCCCTCTCACCTCCTGCACCCTCTTGTTGAACCCTGCAACTGCAGTATGATTTCCAGATCCTGCATTGTATTTCACCCTGCTGGAATTGTTGTCCCCCATAGATGGGAGAAAAGGAACCATCAGGAAGAGAAATTCAGCAGGGGCTGATTTAAATCAGGGCTGATTTAGTTCCTCACATATTCTTAGTAGAACTGGACTAGCTTAAATCAGCACGGCATCACTGAGGCTCGTAGAGAACAATAGGTAATGCGTTACTAAATACCAAAACATAGGATACTGATTCAGGCTGGTGAAATAAAAGCACAACTCACCTGGCAGGACTGTAAGAAAAGCACTGCGAAAACTGTAGCCCATGGTGTTTGCCCCTAAGCAAATGTACATCCCTGCATCCTCTTCCTTGGCTCGAGTAATCATCAGTTTGTTCAGGTAGGAGCCATCAGGACGGGACCAGACCTCCCCCGTGGGTAGCACTACAAACTTCTGTCCCCCGACATCAATGGTAGAGTTGTACTTGCTCTCTGTGCCATACTCCACTCGCTTCAGCCACTGGATGACAGGTTTGACATCACTGCGGACTTTACACTGGAAGGATGTGGTCCCACCGTAGTCTACTGTTGTGTTGACGGGGTGTGTCCCTGTCAGGATGGGCTTGGATCTTGTTCTCTCTGCACAAAAACAGAAGGAGCTCCATGGAAAATGGGGTTTGCCAACCTGATTAACTCGTGATTCCAGAAAAGGTGTAGAATGCATGCAAAAAATTGTCTAATCCAACCCTCTGCCATACAGTAGGCTGAGATCTCAGCTGAACTTCCCCAGTCCCATTTCCCCATGCTGCAACTATGAGAAAGAGCTAGAAGATGTCACCCTTCCTTGTATTCCCACTAAAACATATCTCAGGAAACGCATCCCAGAAAGATGTGATCTTAATGATGTACCTGCACCTACAGAACGTTTAAAAGGTTGCAGAGGAAGATAAACGGCTTGAAATTAGCCAAAAGAATAAAACCCTTTTGGGATTAAATTTGAACAATACAGCAGGTCTGAACATGAATTAAGTAGTTTATCTAACTATAAATGTTCAGTTGATATTGATTGCAATGGTATCTTAACAATGTATACAACTATCTGAAGGGAAGGTGTAAAGAAGACAGAGCCAGGCTCTTCTCAATGCCAAGAGGCACTGAGCACAAACTGGAGCCCAGGAGCTCCCTCTGTCCATCAGAAAGCATTGCTGTGGGAGCTGCCAAAGCACTGGTATGGGGACCAGAGAGGCTGTGGGCTCTCCTCCTTGAGGATTTCCAAAAGCCACCTGGACGTGGGGCTCAGCACCTGCTCAGGGAGGGCTGTGATGGAGCCAGAAGGACCCAGAGGTTCCCCTCTCATCCATGCTGTGATTCTGTGTCTTTTATCACTGCCTCTGGTAGGGTGTAATTTACAAGTGTATTCTCAGGTACAACCTCAGGGCTTTTAGTTTTTTAGATCAGATTATTTGCAAGTATAAGGCTACCAACAGTTTGGGTACAGGAACTTGTGGTAAGACATGTTCCTTTTCCTTTTGGTCATTCCAAATATCTCCTAAAGACAAAAAATAAACAGATGGGAAGAAGCCCCTTCCTTCACAGATTGTCTATCAGCAGTGAGGGCAGGCTGTGGATTTCTCACATAGAATCATAGAATCATAGAACATCTTTGCTTTGGGAATCCCTTGGGAGTCTGTCACCTTTTCTGCTGGGCCTGGCATATGTCCATGGGATCAAAACTCTACTGCATGTCATCCCACACCATGTCACCACTGCTGGGCTAGAGCAGCTGAAGCCACAGGCACCACCAGTGCAGAAAATCTTGCATCAGCCTCACCTACCATCTGCTTTTATTACTCCTTTCTTCAGTCTAATCGTCCACACACTCACTGTGGAGTAACATTTATGGAGTAACAGGCCAGGGATCTTTTCTTTTCTAGCCAGTGACAAAATCTTCCATTTCTCACTCAAATTTTGTTTCACGTCTCAGCTGATGGTAGGAAAGGAAATCAAACACAAAAGTTCACAAGATCGTGCTTTCCAGCACGATCGTAAGCCATAGGTTGTGTCAATACCACGTAAAATCAAAAGAAAACTAAATTCCTGATTCCTAGGAATATTAGGATCTTTTTTTTTAGGTGGCAGCATCACAGAAACGAGGACAAGGATTTACTGAAAACTTCTTTCCTAGGCACAGAGAGAAATGATGGTATCACAGTGGGTGGTAACTGCTGGCAATCATCAACCACTTTTGAAGGCAAAACACTGCTGGATTGATCCTGTAACACAACAGCTCCCACCAGCACAGGCTTTGAGGTGACAGCAAGGAACAATGGACCCTCTTTCAAAAAGTCAGGGTACTGTCAACAATGAGAGCTCTAAAGATGTGCCTGGGAAACAAAAATACCACCATGGTCTCCATAGGACTACAAGCAGAAATCACAGCTGGGAAGACTGAGACTCAGATAAGCAGGAAGGGTTTAAGAGTGGAGGCTCAAGGAAAAAAAAAAAAAAAAAGGAAAAAAAAAAAGAGGAAATTGAATAAAACCTGAAATACTCCACAGAATGATGTTAAAAATAGAAAGACGTCTGAAGACTGCTTAATGCCCTTATCTGCCTGACTCTGGTTCCAGCTTTCGTTACTGTTTTCACTCCTAGCCAGCAAAAGCTAATGAAAACAAAGGTTACATACATCTTTAAGTTGATAAAAACCAAGATAAACAGGGACACAGAAAGGGGTTTGTTCCTGGTGCTGTCTGGTTTTGATGAAGTGAAAATGCCACAGCTGCCATTAGGATGGGGCTTGATTCATTTCCCTGTCTCTGCTCCTGGTTTTAGTGTAAACACATGTTTTTACTGTCTCCACACAGCTGCATCTTTATCAAATCCAGATGTCTAGCAGGTTTGTGCCTTCAGAGCCCAACAGAGCTCCCCACATGTGCTTTTAATTCCTGTTATTCTAGAGAAAGGGCTTATCAGAGACCAGATCTTTACCTTAAAGAACAATCTTTCACACTGGGATAAACTTTCTCATGCTAAAACACATGCACAGACGGACAAACAACATGCTTTCCATGTGACTGGAAATAGCCCTCCATACCCCTGCTCCTCAGTAATGAAGGATATTCCATCTTCCCCCACTTTGCTCATCTTCTTCTTCAGCTTGCTGTTCCATAATCTTTTCCATGACAGTTTATGATGTTGTCATAGACAAAGCATTATGATTTAAGAAGAAGAGTTCTACTTTGGTAGACTTAGGGAGCTTTGAGTATAATTATCTTCAGTAATAATATGGGAAACAGGAGATTAGAGGCCAAAAATCAGAATATCAGCCGGTAAGTAGAGCAATTTACTCTACTACATCACAAAGTAAGGTAATCCCCCATAGCTCATCTTCTAAGGGCTGAGACTACAGATACATACAGGACTTCAGTGGGATTTTAAAATTTTGTTAGCATCTCATTTGTATGCACCTGAACTTTCATATATCTAAATGCTTTTAAAAATTTGGCCCTAAAGCCGTGTCTGGCTAATCAATCTAGTCATAAGATTTCTGCTCATTCCCTTGGGAGATTTCTCTAATGAAGTGGGTCTCTTATTACAGATGTCTAAGTCTAAATTTTCAGTTGATTGGTTTCACTTCACTCTGATAAAGTAATCTGGACCATCCTAGTATTTCCAACCCTCCTCTACGGCCCTCTGTGAAGGCCTTCTTGGTAAGTTCCCATTTTGCTCTTAAACTGTCAGCTGCATAGGGTTGAATTGGTCCGTTGTGAACTTATGCCATGCGAGTGATGTTAGATGACAGTTTCCTAAGAGTTTCTCTTTACTTCAGACTTCTAAATTGTATTAGTAACACTCTGTCTTTCTTGGATGTTAGGTTTATTCTAGTTTCAACAATGTTTTTTCTGATGGTTCCTGTTGGCATTTCTAACACTTACCCAAGTCTATATCCAGCTGCCAGCACTGCATCCTCAAAACCATGCTCTCTGAACTCAGCCAACCCCTTTCTGATAGCTCCCTCCCCCCCTTTCCACCATAAAGGCTGCACTTACGGATCACTTCAACTTTGTAAGTCGCATTGATTTCCCCAACTTTGTTAAACACTCGGCAGGTGTATTTCCCACTATCCTCTGGCTTCAGATTCTTCAGGTTCAGAGTCCACTTCTTCTTCTTGTTCTCCCCAGTCTCATGGGGCATGAGGGGCTTATTGTCCTTCAGCCACGTGATGTCGGGCCGTGGGTTGCCGCTGGCCACACACTTCAGGCGGATGGAGCTGCCGACAGGACGGGCGATCACTCTGCGTCTCATCTTTGCAGGCTGGGTGAACCTGGGCTGGGCTGCAAAAGGCACGAACAATTGACTCCAGTGAGCAAAAGGCATATAAAGCAGGATGCTACTGTCAAACATTATGGCCAAATTTTCTCAAGAGGCGCTCGGCAGCACCATGCAAGACATCTCATATTCCAGCTCATACCAATTTACTTAGAAAGCACTATACAGCCTGGTGCAGTTGAGTGTTTAGAGGACTGCTATGAATAAATTAGCCTCCTGCATGGAACAACCCCAGAATTCCTCAGTGTCCTTAAGGCAACTGAGTCAAACAACCTCGCAAAATAATACTAGAATCATGCTAAAGGCAAAATGTGACTCCGCAATAACATTATAATTGTTAACATATTCCATGCCAGAAATGCAAGCCCTTAGCTAAGAACAAAGGAAAAACCACAGATTCCTGTTAAGCTGGCAATTTTCTCAGTCCTTTGGTTGTCACGTATAGCTTCATTTTTTGAAGACATTTTTGCCTCGTAGTTCTCACTGGGTTTAGTGGAATTTGGGAAGGGTCAACAACTTTTCAAACTGTAACACAGTCTTAGAAGTGAGCAAGACATTTGATCATCTGAACTAAAAGGTATGAGATCCACTCAGTACTAACTTATGGAGCATTCGTGTTGGAAGACCCAAAGGAACAAACAAAACACATGGAAATATACAAGAAAAGAAAACTTGAGTCAACCTAAGGCTCATCCATCCCCAATACTGTGAAGCTGAAGCAATATCTGCTGGTGGAGAGAATGATGGGATAAGATAAAGTTACCTTGACTTAGGATGGAAATAACTAGTATTTCTAGAAACAGTGACAAGAACACTAGAGAAATGTGAGGTCCCTCACCTGGCAAAATCTAGAATTTATACCCTCAGATTTGGATTAGATAAGAATTCCAGAGGGAAAAGAAGTGGCATCTTCACACCTTGGTAGCTTTAGTAATATTGGTGAGGATCTTCCTATAAAATCGTGAGTTGGTCTAATTAATCAGTAGAAAGAAAAAATGCTTTGCTTTGCACGCTTTTAAGACACTTAATACTATAAGATTTGTTGCAAGGCAAAAGCTTGAAAATCCAGAAGAAGTTACAGCTTTCTCTGTATTTCCTTAATTATGCCATATCAGTAAAGGGGCACTTACAGCTACAGTCTGCTGCTGAGATTAACACCACTTCTGACTCCCACTTGGCACTCTCTCATTGCTTCCAAAAGGCTCCTGCCTAATTCATCTGCCTTCTTCTTCATTTTGACAACATCAGTTTCTCCTTGCCAGCTCCATAATAGGTTTCTCTCCCTGCTTTCAATCTTTTTTCGTGCTTAGTATAACCTTACTTTTCAGCCTCAGATGGCAGTCACTTTACGTTTTCAAACTCCCTGCTATATTCTCCCTGTTTCTTTGCTTGGAGAAAATGAAAAACAGAGAATGATTGGCCATTGGCTTGGACATGCCCATCAACCACTGCAATTAGAGATCCACAACATCAGTAGAACACAGCACACCAAAGCAAGCTGAGAAGGTTGTACTTCAGACAAAGGGAAGTTTGCTACAGGTGGGACTACCTACCACAGAGCCAGCCCTGCTGCCCAGAAATGGGCAGAAGCTCCAGGATGTGCATTATAGTGGAGAACTGATGGATGGAGGAGGTTAGTTTGCAGCTTCCTCTCTCCACGCATCTGCAAATTGCAACCATTGCCCTCTGAGGTCTGTGACCCTGTCCCCTGGTGCTCTCACCCACCTGCAGCCTTGACCTACAACCCTTCCTCTCAGAAGAAGACACCCTTTGGCATTCCCCCTCTCTCGGAGTCTCTTTCTTTAGGAGAAACCATCTGCCTCTGCAGCCTTCTCTTGCCCTCCTTGACTGTCATTTTGGGTCCCAGCCATTTCATGTTATTTCAAACTCTTGCTCAGAAATGCTTTGCTCTCCGTACAGAGACTTTCATGTGTAATCTAATGAACTGGAGCAACTCTGGCTCTGAGAATCCTTGCCATGACAGCTGAGCAGCAAGTGTGACATACTAACCTCCTGCACAGCTCCTGGTGCGTAAATAACCCCCTGCACAGCTCCTGGTGTGTAAATTTCTGGGTATTCCCTTGAGGATTTGCTGCAAGAGGAGGCTCCCTCCCAGCAAAACAATTGGCCTCTAGAGGGGAAATTAACCCTATCAGGGCTGAACATTAGGAATGACTGCAAGCTCAGGCCTTTTCCCCCACTCTTTCCTGCTTCCACAGCAGCATTTTGGGACACAATCTCTGTATTCAGTAAGAGAGGTGCAAAAGAGAAACTTTCTCCCCAAAAGCAGGCCTATAACATTTCTGTATGTTCTCCTGCTCTGATTCCCATAAATCTGTCTGAAGTTTTGCACTCATTCTCTCATGCAACGTTGCTCAGATACACACCAAGCTACAGGTAAAGCTAAACTTGTTTGGCTCTTTCCGTCTTTCTTGTTCTGCTTAGGGAAGGTTAAGTGATTATGCGCTCTCAAAAGCTACTCCAGCCTGCATGCAATATGCTGAAATCAGATCCCATTTACACAGCCCTGAATACTTCCTTGACAAAAGCCTGAATTGGGCAAGTTTAGAAAGGACAGTCAACAAAAAAGGAGAAAAAGAGAGACACACACATAAGAGACAAAAAGAGGCTCAGCATTTCACAAAGGAGATGGAGAGAGAAGCAGCACTGTGAGACAGAAAAGGTCTCCCTTGAGTTTGTGCTGGTAAATGTCCTTCCCCAGATCTGTACCATTTACAGAAGTTTTGCTTGTTGGAGTGCCAGAGAAGGTCATTACAAAGTGCCTCTGTATTATTTATACTTCATTGCTTGTTCTCCTCCACATCGCTTGGTGTTTGCTTCATAAACATGAACAGCACATTTGTACAGTATAAATTATGCCAAGCACAAGATCAAGGGAAAACACAAGCAGATAGGGACAAAGAAACAGTGTTGTGCGTGGGTTTCTTGCTGAAACCTGTTTACCGTGAAGGTTCAAGCTAATGAAAATGAAATGAAGCAGAAGGTTATGAGCACAAATTGCTGGGAAGGAGTTCAGCTATCTGCTCTCCCTGGATAACATCCCAAGATGCATGGATTAGTCCCAGAGACTCCTGTCTACTATTGCTCCTACAAATCTAGGCGGTTAGCTAAAACATGCAGTCTGCTGTGATCTGCTATGTATACCTCCACATAGTGATAATGCTGCTTCAAGCTTTCCTGATGCTTACACAAAAATAATCCTATGTACTACCAAGCACTGAAGTACTTTCAGATCTTTAGGATAAGAGCTCAGTCATTTGTGGGAAAATGAGGACAGGGATATCTATCTTTTCCTGCTCTTGTTGGGCAGACCTTTCCCCAGTGATTTCCTTCCACAATGGTAGCTGGAGAGCAAGCTGGGGCAATCACCAAGTTTCCTCTCTCACTTCTCCAGTGCCCAAGACTCTGCAAACACTAACTGCACCTTCACTCATTCTCTTCCTGAAAACCACAGACACACACTGATCCTCCCTGCATACCAGCACTTTTCTGGTGAACGCTGCTGGGCTTGGGTACATCTGCAGTCTATCTCAGCCTTTTCCCTGTTTGGGGAGAGGAGATAGGAAGGAGGTAAAGTGGAAAAAATCACACTGCAGCACAAAGAACTGAGCCTGGACATCACAAGGCACAGCACAGTCTCTACTACTAATTTTAACAGTACACACATCTTTTATCATAGTGTGGATCCATCATCACCAGTTCTCCCAGCAGTATCTCTTCCGTAACTTTTAATACTTATTCCTATCTTCACCAGGGTAATGAAGAGTGGAGAGATGGGAATTGTTCTTGCTAGATGATGAATCCCTCCTGAAGGATTCCCAACTTGGAGCCATGTTTTTCCTATCTCTAATACATTATCATCCTTTTCCTTCTGCCTTCCTCTCTCAGAACAAACTCAGGCTCAGGTGAAATTGTAATTCAAGGCCATTATGATACTGCTTCCTCTAGCTTTGGATGGACTACACTTCAGCACACCACACCCTTTGTTTGCCAGCTCCTGAAAAAAGCTGGCCTTAGTTCAAGTGGTAGGGACTCATATGGTGACAGCTTGACAGGTTCCACCCCTACCACTGCTATGAGGATACTCACTGGCCATGAACGTGGGAGAAAGCCATCTTTCTGTCACAATATTCAAAGGGATAGACTGTGAGAGCAAAATGGAAATGCCTTGCTTTGTCTCTTGGGGTCTTAAACTCTCCCGACAGCAATGGCTAAAAGATGTTTGGCATCAGCCTGACGATTTCTTGTCCTTCAAGAAGTGCTTGGACCAAATGCTGGATCTGTGAATCTTGCTGTGATTCACAGCCTGTTTCAGGAGAGACATTTCAGCAGTTCTCCTAAACTTTGGAACAGTATTGAAATCCTATCCTTGAACAGTCCAGGATTGAGAGAAGTTCACGTAGGTGTCTAAAAGAGAGGGTAGTTTTCAAAGGTACTCAGCTTTGACTTAATGCTAATACTCTGAAGTCAAGACCTCCTATTTGCCCTCAATGGGAACAGTGTTGTGCTGGCAATGAAGGCTTTTGGAAATATTGCTGTAAAAGTCAATGTGTCTTTTACAGAGTCTATGAAAGCTATTATAGCTGCACTTGCAAAGGAAAGTCACTGCCCAAAAAAAACAAATGCAAGGGAGAACCATGCTGGAGTATAAGGCAGGGGGCCCTAAAGCCAATCATGGGCTGCATTTTGCAGAAGGACCCTTGGATGGGATCCATTCACACCAACACATTTAGCTGAGGCTCTGTTTATTATTTGACCATCTGCAGGGAGAACTCACTCCATTTGCTCTGCCTTTTCCTTTCCTTCTGCAACTGAGAAACATGCTGTGTGAGCAACACTGAACCAGGAACAGAAGGAAAACACACACTGTTCCTTACCCCACTGCTTCCCAGAATGATCTTCATATTCTCCATTAGAGCCTTCAGGTGTCTGGCTGTTCTTTCCTGAGCTGGTATCATCTGCAAAAGAGAAGAAAATGAAGATGTTAGGAAGATCTCCTGCAGTGCAGCAGTGTGATGAAGGGAGTTTGCATTTCCTCCTGCAGGCACTGTGAAGCTGAAAGGCTTCGACATACATTTGGCATTCACATCCTGCCATGTACAGCTTAGTTTAGTAAACAATTTCGTTGCTGCTTTATGAGCTTTTCGGCAAGCTACCAAAGCAATGGGAGATTAATCAATGTTTCCATTAATAGCTGACAAAAGACTCTTTGTTTATGTTTACAGGTTGCCATTCTCTAGGAGGAGCCAATCTGTTGTACCTTCTATGCAAATAATGGTATGAATCAAAATTATAGATAATTAAACCTGGGAGGTGGTGAAGGCTTGTGTGATCAGTCACACAGAGCGCAAGCAATGGAATTAGGACCACTAATTTGCCTTTCAGCTTCCACACAAAATCAGGAAAGCAAGCAGGTTTGCTGAGGGTCAAATGAGCCCTTGAGGGATATCAAACACAAAGATAAGGCCGGTCAAAGCATGGAAAAGTTTTATATATATATATATGTTTAAAAAAAAAAAAAATTAAGGCTATCCATCCACCTATAGCAATGATACAGCTCTCTGTCCCTAATCACTTCCTATTATTGGCACAGGCTGCTCAGGGAGGTTGGTGGGGTTACCATCCCTGGAGGTGTTCAAGAACCTTGGAGAAGTGGCACTGAGGAACATGGTGGGGATGTGTCAGTGGCTGAGCTTGGTGATTTCAGTGATCTTTTCCAACCTTAATGATTCTATGATTCTAAGTGTGTGTAATAAAGCCAGAACTAAAGTCTTATTTCATCTCTGTGAGGGCAACTTGGTTGGCAGAGAGAGTTCAGGGGAAGGCAGGGTCTACCTTAGTAAGAACTAGCAGAACTACCTCTACAGCAGTGTAAAATGCCAGCAAAAGAAGTGGAAATGCCTAAGCTAAGGAATGAATCCCTCTGAATGCTCAGCTCCTCAAACTCATAAGAAAAAATAACTCAGGCAAAAGAGAGAAAATTCTTTACTAATCTCTGCAGTGGAGAGAAAAAGCTCTGTAATTTTTAAATATTTTTTTAATAGAGAGAGGTATATGCAAAATGTGCAAATAGTAGAGCTGTTCTTTATAGTTACTTTAGAAGATGCACTGGGCTTAGTAAACCTGCATGTTGGCTTTGTGAGTGAAGTCCATAGCTATAACCCCATCCTCAGCCCAGTTTCCACTAGTTTGGAAAACCACCCTGTCTCCTCAACATGGGGCACTTTATGCTGCCACATGGTTGGCTCTCATTTGCTGCTGCCTCTTCAGCAGCGAGGCTGCAGTGCCATAGGGGTTTGTCTCCCCTCACCCCTGGCAGATTTCTCTCTTCTCCTCGTGGCGACTTCGGCACGGTTCCCCCCAGAGGTATGTGCAGCTGTCACTTCGAGGGGTAAAGAAAACTTTCAGGGCCGCAGCACGCCGTGCCCTTGCTCCAGCAGCTCGCTCTGGCCGCCTGCCCTGTCCCACCTCCCTCACCCTTCGCCGTCCCTGGAATCCCAGAGGCTTTCCTGGCTGAGCAGCGGGGAAGCAGCGTGAAACGCAGCCACGCTCAGCAAACAGCCTTGGCAAACTGAAAGCAGGCAGTACAAATTTACCCATTATATATGGTGGCTTGCTTATGATGGATTGCCTCCTTTCAGTTAAAATACTGAATGGATTATTTTCTGGTGCTTGTACAGTTTTTCTCATAAATACCAGTTGGGCTACGAATGAAATTCTGGATGCTCCGTGGCAGAGAATTTAGTAAATTCCTTAGTACCATTATAAAAATGTACAGGGTAATGAAGAAGAAATGAAAAGTATGGTCAGAGATGTAGGAATCCTGCACACTGTTAAGCTGCCGAATATCTTAAAAGTGGCTAAGGCCTTTAAGTGGTGATGTCCTGTCAGTTATATCTTAATCCTCTCCAGCTCAGTGTACAAAGAGCAGGGCAGCCTCCCTTGCCTTCAGCCTCATGTTACAGTATGTCAGCCCATGTGCACTCCTCCTGCCTGCACACCAGGACCGACTGGCATCCTCAACACCTCTTGACACGCTGCCAAGCTTTTGATGTCAATAAAACTGCCCTGAATCTGTTTGATCCTTTGAAGATGCCTCTTGGGTTGTTATCCCACCAAATCCCAAACTTGCGGAGTAACTTACCAAACCCAAAGAAAATCGTTTTGGGGGAAGAGATTGGGATAGCTAATGTCACCATACTGAGCATATGAAGCAAATACTTTGGCAGAGTAGCAAGAAGTAGCCACATGCATGTAGGTTTGTTGGTTTAGATCCACTGGAACCAGTTTCATGCTTGTTAGGAATGTGGCAACGTTAACAACAAAACACAGTAGAAGACTTAGGTGGAGTGGAAATGTCATAAACATGGAAACTTGTGTGGAATAGAACTACTCCTTCCCACACCCAGAGCTGCACACTGGGTGAGGGGATGCTACTGAAATCTCTGTTCCAGCTGCAAGAACTGCAAGAAAACCTGAGAACTGCAAAAAAAAAAAAAAAAAAAAAAAAGCTGATTTATGAAATACAGAAACTGGATGAAACTCAGCAAAGCTCATTTGGGAGTGATTTCTTGAAACAAGGGAATCTCAGTGCAAGCTCGAAAGTGTGAGCAAGCCAGGACAACAGCCAGTAATATAACAATTAAGCATTAACCTGGGATGTCAGTACCCCAGGGTCAAGTCCTTCTGCTACATTCACAGATGGATTTGAACCTCCTCTCCTGCACCTTGGGTGAGTGCCTTAAGCGCTGAGCTGTGAGATCAGAGAGCCAAAAAAACCCACATTATTTTATAAAGTGGAACAGCAAAGCAGGAGATAGATATCTCAAGAACAATCTTATTATGGATGAGCCCTGTTTAATTCAGATATATCAATGAGATTTGACTTTCACCTGACACAATCACACCCAAAGTTAGTACTGCATACATAGGAAGTGTCTGTTCTTCCCTGTTGAGACAGAGATTGGCCTCAGAAAACAAGTCCCACTCAAATATATATGATCAGCATGTAAACAATGAGTTGGTAACTAAAATCATGAATCTTAGCTATATTCAAAAAAGACTTAATAAACTGATTGCTTATTCAAACTTTTGTCACTTCCCACAGAGGCAGCCAGGTCAGGGTGACACACAAAAATCCAGCAGCAGCCAAAGGGCAGTGAGACCAGCTATGCAGCAGGGCCAGCCTTGCTGCCAGCAGATTATTGCAAGAGGCAGTGCTAAGAAGGATGAGCTGCTGAAGTTTCCTACGAGCTCCCTTTTCCGTGACCTATATTGGAAGGTCATCCTGTGCTGGACATCTTGGACACTATCACAGGGTTAGGAGAGCAGCCAGTTGGAAGACTAAGTGGAAAACCTGCCTTGAAAAATAATCACTGACTAATTTTATGTCACGAGTATCCTGGGGGTAGGAAAATACACACTGTGCACATGATTTGGGTGTCCTCTCTCTACAAGCTGGTTTTGTGGCGTTGGAAAGCTTGAATAATTTGTCAAGAAACCTGAAGTGGAAGATTCCCGTATCAGGTCAGGTGACAAACTATCGTATTATGTCAGGTGATAGACTTGGAGACAAGGGACAAACCTATGTAGCCCCCTTCCCCTCCAAGTATGACACCTGGCCATTAAAGGTAGGGTCAGAATGGGTCCAAAGGCATCCAGTTGTTCAGGAATGCTGTCCCAGTGGCTGACTCCCATCTCCTCCCGGATGTTGCTCCAAGCTAGCTTCCAGGTTGAGATGCCATGGGTTGGTGTGGGCTGGGAAAGTGTTGGGTGGGGTAAAAGGGGGATCATGAGCTTGTTTTTGTATGAGATGTGATGCATCTGAGAGTATGAAGCCTCGGCTATCAGTGCTGACGTCATGGCCAAATTGCTCTTTCACACTCCAGAAAGCATGACGCTCTGTGCATATTGCCTGTCATGTGTCCTCCTGGTTGATTTCCTTTCACAAAAAACAGGTTAGATTTCTTCAGACAGGGATTTCTGTATGTAACCCCATCAGTTGACAAATGGGATCCTAGGGGACAGAGAGCGCCATATAAGCAGAGTATGGTTACCATTTATTACCATAGCAGAATTGTTCCGTTACCTCTTAAAAAGTTAAAACAAATGGAAAATTCTGCATAATCATCTGACTCCAAGAGGAGCTGATGGGAAACATTCACAGGCTGTTACTGAGCCAGGATCAAATTTTATTTACCCACAGACTTTCTGTGGAGGCTTCATGTTCTAGCTGAACGGGCATGACTTGTTTTCAGACCAATACCATGCTTTGAGCACTCATCCCCAAGTCAAAACAACCTCCCAGTTTTATGAAGCAAAACTCTAGCCATAATGTTTCTCTATGATTCACAAAGTTGCTTTAATTTGTTATAATGCAAGGCCAGTCTCTGCTCTGACTTGATGGGACCAGCTTTGGAGCCTTTGATGTCAGAGGCCTTGAAAGCCCCATTTCGCAGATGAGCCAGCTTTGCATAAATAAACAAAGTGACCTCTGAACTGGAGCCTGAGACATGAACACACTTCAAAGCCCTGGGGGAGGCACTGGGGGGGGGGGAGGGGAAGGAGGGAAAGGGGGGACAACAGGGAATGAAGCGATCAGCATGCATCATTAAGGCAGCCCCTACTCAACACTCAACTGCTGCCCAACAAGGGGTGCAAATAAAAGGAGGGAGGGAGTGAAATGAGGGGGAAAGTGATGTAATCCAGTCAGGCTTGAACAATTAGAATGAGGCCTTTTCTCATGGATGCATGAAAGGGATCTCTCTGAACTCCAGCTTTAGGCGCTTTCCCTCGCGCTTACCTAGGTGCACCATATTTGCACATTGTGTTTGTGCCCCAACTTTGCTGCTGCAGAGGCCCAGTAAATGACAAACCTAAAGTTGGCTGTGGGTGGTGGGTCTTGGGCCTTCCTTGGAGCTAGATCAGAATTTGTTATAATGAACTTAACCATAAAATC